TGAGTTAATAATGTGTGCAAAACCTATAACCACTTTTTTTTTGAATTTAGTTTTTATTTTTTTATTGGTGTGACATTGATCAACAACATCCAGTAAGTTTCAAGTGTACAATTCAACAGTAAGTTATATGTATATTGTATGTGTGTTCACCACTCATAGATTTCTTTCTATCACCACATATTTTACCTCCTTTACCCCTATTTACCTTCTCCTCCCTCCCTTCCCTCTGGTAACTGTATCCATGAGTCTCTTTTTGTTCATCCTGTTTGTTTGTTACTTTTAGATTTATATCCCCACATATGAGTGAAATCATGTGGTTTTCAACTTTTTCTTTCTTGCTTATTTCACATAGTATGATTAACTCGAGGTCCATCCATGTTGTCGCAAATGGCAGTATTTCATCTCTTCTTATGATGAATCATATTCCATTGTATAAATGTGCCACAGCTTCTTTAGCCAGTCATCTATCGTAAGACACTTTGGGTGTGTCTATGTCCTGGCCACTGTGAATAATGCTGCTGTGAACATAGTGGTGCCTATGTATTTCTATAAAAATATTTTCAAGTTTTTTGGGGTAAAGTCCCAGTAGATGGATTGCTGGGTCATATCATAGATCAATTCTTAGTTTTCTGAGAATCCTTCAGGCCATCAGACTGTCAGTGCCCATCTTCTGGGACTTTTTTTTTTCACTTTTCTAACATTAATGTTTATTAGCTCAAGGTCTAGTACCCTGACAGTTATTGAAGAGGCTTTCCTTTCTCCACTGTATATTTTTGACATCTTGTTGAAAATTATTTGCCCATATAAATATGTGTTTGCTTCTGGACTCTTGATTCTGTTCCACTGGTCCATGTGGCTGTTTTGCTGCCAATACCATGCCATTTTGATTATTGTTGATTTGTAGTATAATCTAAAGTCAGAATGATGCCGCCTTTACCCTCATTCGTTTTCTGAGGATGGCTTTGACGATTCATGGTCTTTTGTGCTACCATACAAATCCGATGATTTTTTGTTCTATTTCTTTAAAAAATGCTAATGGGATTTTGATGGGGAATGCATTAAATCTGTATAATGCTGTAGTAATAAATTAATTTTAACTATGTTGATTCTTCCAATCCAAGAACACTAATATCTTTCCATTTCTTTGTATCTTCTTTGATTTCTTTTCATAGGGTCTTATAGTTTTCATTATTTAGGTTCTTCACATGTGTTGTTAAATTTATTCCTAGGAATTTTATTCTTTTTGGTGCAGTTGCAAAGGAATTATTTTTTCCACTTTTTCTGACACTTCATTATTAGAGTATAGGAAAGCTATGGATTTTTGAACAGTGTATCAGATTTTGTATCCAGAAACTATACTATATTTGCTTATTGTTTCTAGTAGTGTTCTTGTGGAGTCTTCAGGGTTTTCTATATAGAGAATCATGTCATCTGCAAATAGTGACTGATAGACTTCTTCATTTCCCAGTTGGATGCCTTTTATATCTTTCCCTTGTCTGATTGCACGTGCTAGGACCTCCAATGTTATATTGAATAACAGTAGCCATAGTGGACAGCCTTGCCTTGTTCCTGATCTTAGAAGGAAGGTTTTCATTTTTACCATTCAGGATAATGTTGGCTGAGGGTTCGTCATATATGGCCTTTATTATGTTAAGGTACTTCTCTACTGATTTCGTGAAGTGTTTTGATCATAAATGGATGCTGTATCTTGTCGAAGGCTTTGATCGTGTTGTATAATCTTTTTAATATGTTGCTCTATTCATTTCGTTATATCTTATTTAGTTTTTTTGCATGTGTCCCACTTTGCCGTGTCTCAAAAGTTTGATATGACGTACTGTCATTATCATTCATTTTTATGTTTCTCTTGATCTCTCTTTTTATTTCTTCTGTGACCCAGTTATTCTTCAGTAGCATGTTGTTTAATTTCCATATTTTTGTGGTTCTTTCTGCTTTCCTTTTATAGCCGATCTCCAGCTTCAAAACATTATGATCCACAAATATGGTTGGTATGATTTCAACACCCATATTTGTTGAGGCTATTTCTGTGTCTCAGTATGTAGTCGATCCTTGAGAATGTTCCAAGTGCACTAGAGGAGAATGCATAAGCAGCTGTTTTGGGATGGAAGGCTGTGTGTATGTCAGTTGATCTAATGTGCATTTAAGGATGTTATTTCCTTATTGATTTTTTGTTTGGATGATCTGTCTATATCTGACAGTGGGGTATTTAGGTCCACTACTGTAATAATGTTTTGGTCTGTTTTTCCCTTTAGTTCTGTTAGTAATTGCTTTACACATTTTGGGGCTCCCTGATTGGGAGCATATATATTCATCAGTGTTATGACTTCTTGGTGCATGATTCCTTTTATCATTAATGAAGTGTTCCTCAGTATCTTTCTTTAACTTTTTTATTTTGAAGTCAGTTTCGTCCTGTATTAGTACCGCAACATCCGTTTTTCTCTGAATGCCATTTGCTTGGAATATCATTTTTCACCTTTTCTCTTTGAGTCTATATTTGTCTTTGGAACTGAGATGAGTCTCTTGAAGGCAGTATAAGCATGGGTTTTGTTTTTTGATCCATTCTACAACTCTGTGTCTTTTTATTGGTGTGTTCCGTCCATTTATGATTATTGAAATACAATGTTTTCCCATAGCCATATTATTTTGTTTTCTGGTCGCCCAAATATTCCATTGATTCTTTGTCCTTATGTTCTGTTTGTTATTTTAACTTGGTGGGGTTTTGTGAATTTTTTCCCACGTTTTTCTTGTTTTCTGTTACGTACTTCAGTTCTGGATCTTTGATGTCTGGTTACGGTTAAGCTTATGTAAAGGAATGTATATGTGTATATATACACACACCCCCGCACACATACATTAGTCCATTTTCTTCTACATGTGCCTTATCTCCATTCCCCTTCATGAATTTCGACCATTGAATCTTCGCCTTTTCTGTTATTATTTTGTCAGATTTTCCTATATAGGCTGAACATTCATCCTTCCCTACCCCTCCTCATTTCTAAGTTGCAATAGCAATTATCTTAATGTTTAAGCTTATAATACCCTGTTTCTAATAAGGAATGCACTGCTGTCTCTGTTCGCTTGTCATTCATCTTACTGTAGTTACATATTTTTTTGTCATTTTGTTTCAGGTGGGATGACCCCTTTCAGTATTTCCTGTAATGCAGATTTCATAGTGGAGAATTCCCTCACCTTTCATGTATCTGGAAAGGTCTTTATTTCTTCTTATCTAGAACAGAGCTTTGCTGAATACATTGTTCTTGCAGGTAGTTCCTTCATTTAATAGTTTGAATATTTGATTCCTCTCCTTTCTGATTTGTAAAGTTTGTGCTGAGAAGTGTAAAGATAATCTAATGGGTTTTCCTTTATAGGTTAACATCTTCTTTTTGCTGGCTGCCCTGAGAATTCTTTCTTTGTCATTAAGTTTTGATAATTTTAATATACTGTGTCTTGCAGAAGACGTTTTGGGTTGAGATATTGCATGTTCTGTTAGCTTTTTGTATTTGAAGCTCCAGCTTACTTTAGATTTGAGAAATTCTTGTCAATTATTTGTCTGAATATGCTCTTCTTCATCTGCTGGTATATTTGTTATTATGTTGCCTTTCCAGTTCTTGTACTTCTCTTTCATTATTTTTCATTCTCTCTTCTTCTGAATCACTTCTATCTTCAGTATTACTGATTCTTTCCATCATCTGGTCAGCTCTATTTCCTAAGCTCACTATTTCCCTATTTATATCTTTTAGTGTGTTCCTTATCTTCATAAGTTCTACTTGGTTCTTTTTTAGTTTCAGTTTCCTTGCTAAAAATCATTTTTGGTCTATTTTGATCCTTATTTCCTAGAATCGTTGATCCAATGTATTTGCATCTCATTGAGTTTTTTCAGAAGTGCAACACTGAATTCTGTCATTTAACTTGTATATTTCTGTTTTTAAGATTATTTTTTGGAGATTTACTCTTTTATTTTTGAACTGCCTTGTCACTCTGCTTGTCCATGGTGTTTGGTGGACTGTTTCTTTGCCTGGGCATTCATGGGAGTGTAGTCTGCTTTTTTTTAGCTGAGGTGAATAATGTCTTTTTCTCTCTGGAACAGTAAATATACAAGCCATGATCAGGCGATCTTTGGCTCCAGCCTGTCTGTGGTACCGATAGTGATTTTCCTCTCAGTACTGGTTGTGTCAGTCTCCCTGGGGCTCCGCGTGGTGGAATGTCCGGGAGGACATAGGGTGGAGGAAGGCCTTGCTCTGGGTTGGTGGGTTGGGGTAGCTGGTAGTGTCCATGTCTCAGCCTTCCACTTCACAACCACCACTGCTAAGACACAGCTCTCGCCCCTGCTCCACTCTCTGCGCTGATCCCTGGGCTTGACTATGTGGAGTTCACAGATCCCTCAGATAGAGCTTTTAGGGGAACCGGCTGCAAATTCTCCCCAACCCCTCCTCATTCAGGAAACCCTGTCTGTGAGAGCCAGCTTCTTTGTTCTTTCCAGTCTTCCCACCAGACTCCCTGCAATTCCAACCTCTAGAAGCTCTGATGTGCAGATAACTCAGACATGCATGTGTGCAGGTTGGTTGTTATCTGTCTAGTTTTAGATGGTCAGCTTTTGTTATTTTATTTCAGCAGAAGAGATCTGGGGACATCTCTCACTCTCCCGTGCTTCTGATGTCACTACGATAGCCATTTTAGATATGATGTTCTCATAGTCCATGATAAGATTCAAAGCAAAATCATTGTTTAAGTTTATTGAGATAACATTGGTTGATATCATTAAATAAGTCAGTACAATGTTTTGATTCATTGTCTGCATACTGTGTTGTGGGCTCACTGCCAATAGTAGTTTCTTTCCATTGCTATATTTTTGAACCCCTTTACCCTAGGATGGATTTCAATGAAGGTGTTTTGAAATAGCTGTATATATGTAACCTAATGAAGATGTTTTCAATATCTGTATGTTGCTTGTAGGTTTTTTGTATAGGTTGTTCTTGCTCTTGAAATGTTCAATTTTCAGCATTTATTCTTCATGAAGGCCTTATTGAAGTGTCAGCAAGACCTCCATTGTATGTTAGTGTAATATAGAATAATTTGCTCTAACTCTAAAATTGCCTTCTGCATTCACAAGAACTCCTGAATGCTTCTTATTTATTTCAATAACCTGTTTTTCTGTCATAGAATAGTAAAACTAAATGGTATTGATTCTTAACAACTTTTCCTAAAAGATTCGTTTTTAATTTAAAAAAAAGACCAGAGATTGGTTTTCTTTGTAGTTAATTGTTTGCATACTTTTTCTTTCGATAAATAAGAGTTGTAGAAAAGGTCCCATGATGATTATTCTAATTCTTTCACATGTTACTCAGAGGTTTTCAGTGTGCTTCCTGAATGTAAAGTGCTTTTTGATTTTAGGGAAGAAAGC